GGAGGGGAGGGAGGGAGGTTGGAGAAAGGAGGGAAAAGAAGATTAGGGAATAAAAAATTGGTAAAGAAAGGTAAGCAGAATAGAGGAAGCGAGAGGACGAAGGAGAAAAGTTGGGGAGGTGGGCAGTGGACACAGAATAGCGCAGAAGGAATGGAGGAAGGGTGTAGGAATAAAGTAGAGAAGGAAGAGATCGAAAGGTAGGAAAGTAGAAACTAGAGAACCAAAGCGAAACAGGATAAATGGCGGAGGCTCGGATAGAATAAGACGACGAAAAAAAAAATCTCGGATTCTCACCGTCGACCCCCCGTTGCCGTGGTTACAGGAGAAGCAGGCGGGCATGCGGGAGGAGGAGGCGGAGATCGAGAGTCTGCGAGCGGACGCACAGAAGGTCCAGGAGGTGGCGCTGTTCCCCGTCTCCGCGACGGAGGACGTCGAACTGTTCTGCCGACGATGGAAGGAGGTCGCAGCCAAGATCGGTAGGTGACCCCGCTGCGACCCTCGCGTGACCCCAATATGACCTATGCGCGACCCCAACGTGACCCCTGCACGACCCCGCTGCGACCCAAACACGATCCCCCGCATGACACCTGGACAACCCTACGTGACCTTTGTGTGACCTTTACGTGACCCTTGTGTGATATTCGCGTAGCCTCGGCACGACCTCGATGTGAACGCCGGTGTGACTTTTGCGTTTTGTTTAGATGACTGTAGTTTAGGCGGGTCTTTGCAGGATATCGATTGCTTGTGTCGAAATCGCGTATGTGGCAATGTCATGTGACATGGTGACGTGCGATGACATCATCGGTTACCGCGCGCAATGACATCATCTATTACCGTGCGTGATGACATCAGCGTTTACCGCGTGCGATTACATCATCGGTTACCGCGCGCAATGACATCATCGATTACCGCGCGTGATGACATCACTGATAACTGCGTGCGTTTCGGCAGACGCGCGCCGCGCGACCTTGGAGACGACCTTGAGCGAGACGCCGTCGGACGAGTACCTAGAAGGCGTCACCGAGCTGCTGAAGGTTGTCACGACGATGGAGGCGCTGCTGCTGAGCGAGGACGTGTATGTGACGGAGCTAGAGGAGATGCAGGAGACTCTCAACAAATACAAGGTACCTTATATATATATATATATATATATATAATATATATATACATACATACGTACATACATGTACATGTACATGTATGTATATGTACTGCTGTATGAGTGATACATGTACATGTACATGTATGTATATGTACTGCTGTATGAGTGATACATGGTATATATATATATTGCTTTCTCTCTTCTCGCTTCCCTCTCTCGATCTCTTGTCTTCTCGCTCCCTCTCTCGATCTCTTTGTCTCTCGCTCTCTCTTTCATATATATATATATGCATCTATATGTTCACTATCTATAACACCATTGTTTCTCCCCGCCTCTCACTTAGAGGGCGCAGCAGACGCTGGACGACCACCGCGAGCGTCTCTCGCGCGTCAACGCTGACGCTCGCGACTACGCTGGCGCGCTGCCAGGGACTGCGCCCGACTGTCGCACGGCACCCGTCGCCGCTGGCAACCGCCGAGATGGACTCGCTCAATCATCGCTGGGATGAGTCGCGACGGTAACCGGTTCGGCGGGAGACCGGCAGGCGAGGCTGAGAGATGCACTCACGAAGCTCACCAAGATGCAGGTACGTGGAGGATGAGGAGGAGGGGGAGGAGAAAAAGGGGAGGAGGAGAGGGGGATGAGGAGGCGGGCGGAAGAAGGGGGAGGAGGCGAGAAGAGGAGGAAGGAGGAGGAGGGAGGAGAGAGGAGGAGAGGATGAGGAGGGGGAGGAGAGGAGAGGAGGGGTGAGGATGAGGAGGGAGGAGAGGAGAAATAGGCAGGAGAGAGGAGAGAGAGGGAGGAGGAGGAGAGAGGCAGGATGAGGAGGAGGAGAGGGAGAGAGAGGAGGAGGGGAGGGAGGAGGGGGGAGGATGGAGGAGGGGGAGGAGGGAGTGTGTGCGGATATGTGTTATGTGCATGTGTCGTGTGGCTACAGGCAGGCGTTGTGGACAGTGTTTGGTACATTTTGTGCTAACGTATTTATGTATAATTTCGTAATATTGTTTATGATATAATATGTTCATAATATGTTCATTTTGTTTCAGTGTGTATAATACACGTGTTTGTGTATAATGTGTATATAACATATATTGTTTATAAATTATATTGTGTCTGGTGTGTGCATGTCGTGCGTGCTACATGTGTATGTATAATCAAGCTCGACACTAGCGTGTGGCCCCGGTGGCCCGGGGGCCACCAAACATTGATGTCGGAGCCACCAAATTTCCAAAAAGTTAAAATTTGGTGGCCCGAACGGGCAACTAAAATTTCAAAGTGTCTAATGTTATAAAAAATAATTGTTTCTTAGTCGTAATCTTCATTCAAAAGAGGCGAGCAGATTTCGCGGAGCGAGGGCACACGTACGCACCGTGCAGCATTCTACCGCGGATACACGGGCGCACGGTTTAGTCCGATCTACCGCGGCTGCAACAAAGCCACTTATTGTGTTAGACTGGTTATCCGGCCTTCACGCTGCTGCTAGACAATGTACGCGCTCTGCGACGAACAGTTCGGCCGCGAACCAGTCTAGCAGAGCGTCAAAATCTGCACAGCGGCGCAGGCCATAGCATATTTTTGCAAGCGCCAGATACATGTGATTACATTGTATCAAGCGAACCAGGACAATGCGGTTCATGGTTGAAATTTGGATGCCGTGGAATGAGATAATTCAAATGTATGCCTCAATCATCAATGTCGGCTGTGTGGGGTTTGTTAAAGACTTGTGACAAGTGCATCGGACGGCCCAATTTTCAAAATAATATACAATACGAGATTGAAATAACGATTTATCATGTTTTTCTTTGGTTTTTTTCGGGCCACCAAGATGTTCATTTTCGGCGCCACCAAAATTTTGAAAATCAATGATTTTGGTGGCACGATCGCGGCCACTGAAAAAAAAAGTTAGTGTCGAGCCTTGGTATAATACATATTATATAACGAATTTTGCACAGGGAAGATAGTGATCCGCCTAGATCGTGCGCGTACTAGCGCTAACAAACGCGCTCTGATTGCGTAATTTTGTCTCTTATTTATTTTATTTTTTTATTTTTTTTGGCTAATTTTGTTTTATTTTTAGAATTAGGATTAGGTTAGCGCGTTAGCGGTTAGAGTTTAACTGATTTCTATTATTCCACAACTTATTTCTATAGTTCACTATCTCTCCCCTGAGACCATAACTAATTATATACGTGGTACTAACAGAGCGAGGCGGAGATGAGTGGGAGGCGTGGCTTAGACAGCGTTTTGGAGGCATGACAATGAGAAAGCCTCTTCCCAGCGCTGGCTCTCTAGAGCCAAGCTGCAAAACACATCAACGTACGTACACGCGCGCGCCTGCGGGCGTCATGCGGTCAAGTAATCATGGTCAGGGAGTTAAGGGCGTGTGAATTTATCACAGGCGTCAGGGGTCAGGGGGTCATTGGAGTCAAGGTAATCACAGCAGGGTTGTAAGATCAACGTATTTGTAGGAACAAGATCAGGTAAGTCGAGAGTTTCATTGGGTCAAGTACATCAGAGGGGTCAATGGTCAAGTGAATAATAGGGTCAGAGAGGTCAGCCAGGTTTTAAATTGTCCACATGGTCAGAGGTCGGCAGTCAAGCGGTTTCAAGGTCATACAAAGGATGTTGATTTATTAGCATTGTGGTTTAATCGGTTGCCAGGAACGTGCAACCCAACGACGGGACCAGCACCAGAATGCGCTACCCCCTCCTAACCAAACCTCTCTCTGACAGGGACTCGCGCGCGGCCGCCGCTGCCTGAGCAGCAGGCGCCACTGAGCGGGCTCGTTCGTCGCCGCCGTGCGCGAACTGCGCCACGCTGGACTGCGACGCCGACTTACGCGGCGCCTCGAGCGGCGGGCGACGGCCGCTGGTGCGCCGCGCTGCGAGCGCGGTCGCAGAGTCGTCGCGGCGACGCGCGGAGCTGCGGCGTCGGCACGTGCGCGGCAGCGGCGGGACGAGGCGAGAGCGCAGGGAGGCGAAGCGTGGATGAAAGGAGACGATGAAGCTGCTGGGGAGCCGTGCGCCGCGGCGACGTTACTACGAACTGGGAGAAACGCGACCGCTGAGTACAACGGTACGACCGGTCCGATCGATGAGTTATTTGATCGCGACGATTTGGTTATGACTGCGATTGATTGATGTTTATTGATTGCCTGATTGATTGATTATTGCTTGCTGATTGGTCGATTATTGACTTGCGATGGCCACTTTGGTTATTATTGCTGATGACATTGATCGAGTTATTGAATGCCAATTGGATTGGTTATTGATTGCTTGATTGACAATGTGGGTTCTGACTGCCATTGATTGGTTATTGATTGTTGATGATTTGATTATTGATTGACGATGATCGGTTTAATTGCCCGCTGATCGATCGATTATTGGTCACGAATTGCGTCTGTGATCGGTCACATTAATTATTGATTACTTGGGATTTGATCAATCAATGATGTCACTGAATTGACCAATCATTGTAATCAGTCATTGAATCAATGTATATAATCATTAATTAAATCAAACTTGTAAATGAACAATATAATGCAATACTCATTAATCAAAACCAATAACAGTGATCGATTACACGACTCGATGTTGTAATCAAATAACGCTAATCAATCATTTAATCAATAAACGTGATTTGAAACGTGATACGATACCTCCCGCCAGCGATCTGCACGAGGACTTTGAGAGAACGCTCATCATGAGTGCCGGTGCTCAAGCCAGGATGGACCAGCCACCTCGGCGAGACATGTCCGAGCAGATGGAACCAGCTGCAAGAGGGGCGCCGCCGTGCAGTCACAAGCTGTTCGCCGAGGCGCTCAAGAACTTGGAAGGAGCTGCAGGCAGTACGGTGGCAGGCGGGGGCGGGGCCGCGGGCTGGCGCCTGGGGGGTGGGCAGGGCGGGGCAGGGTGGGGTGGAGGATATCGTAGTTTAGGAACTTGAAATTATCTTAATATTAGCATTAATGTTATGGTTCGCATATTCGCATCAAAAATTCAAAGCCGTGACACGTAAAAGCTCGGCTCCGGCGACGGGTCTGCTGCGCGTCCTGTCGTCGCCGCGGCAACCGCGATACTCACGGCGGGCCATGTTTGTTTCTCTCTCCTGCAAGGCTGTCGTGAGCAGAGAGGGAGAATTACTTGGGGAAGCGGAGAGGAAGCTGCTAGCCCTCCCCGGCCGACGCAGAGGGAGATCTCCGCCAGTTCGACCGTGAGTTCGGTCGACCGCCACCAGCGTGGCGTTGTCGCCGGCGAGCGGTGAAGGTCCTCCGTGTGTACGTGTGTTTACGTGTTGTCGTCTGTGTGATATGTCTTTCTTACAGTACATTGTATGGCATGCACAACAGCGCTACAACGATGTATATATACACATATACATAATAAATGATACACACACATATATATAATATATTATATACTATACATGCATAGACATCACACATTATATATATACATATACATGCATACACACACACAATATAATAGATGGCATAATATACGTATAGAGTATACGTACATATACATATATATACGCTACAACACACTTGTGTTATATATATAATATATATATATGTATATATATCAATTGTATATATGTGCACGCACGCATGCACGCAACTCACGCAACATAACTAGGGAATTGGAGCGCACGACGCCGGGACACCCGCCCTACAAACAATTGTGTTCGCCATCACATCCCCCCCTACGTATATCATTATCGATGTCTCCCCTTACATATATCATGTCCCCTTACGCATATTCATGTCCCCCTACGTATATCATGTGCCCCCCTGTGATATATCATGTCACCCGTTACATATATTCATGTCCCCCCTACATATATCATGCCCCCCTACATATATCATGGTCACCCCCTACATATATCATGTTCCCCCTCTACAATATATCATAATGTCCCCCTACATATATCATGGCCCCCCTACATATATCTATGTCCCCCCCAACATATATTTACATGTCCCCCTATCATATATTCATGTCCCCCTACATATATCATGCCCCCCTACATATATCATGTCCCCCCTGTGTATTCATGGTCCCCCTACAATATATCATTTGTCCCTTTACAATATCATGATCCCCCCTCGTATATCATGTCCCCCTGTTTGTTATTCATGTCACCTTCTACATATATCATGTCCCCCTACATATATCATGCTCCCCCCCCCTACCATATTTCATGTTCCCTGCTGTATATCATGTCCCCCCTACATATATTCATTCCGCCCTACATATAATCATGTACCCCCTTCTACATATATCCATGTCCCCCGCTCAATATATCATGTCCCCTTCTACATATATTCATGTCCCCCCCCAACATATATCATGTGCCCCCCTACATATATCATGTCCCCCCCCTCATATATCCATGTCCCCCCTACATATCATTGCATGTCCACCTACATATATATGTCCCCACCTACTATATCATGTCCCCCCCCTACATATATGCAATGTGTTCCCTTCTACATATATCATTGTCACCCCTCTACATATATCATGTCCCCTCTTACAATATTATCAATGTCCCCCCCTACATATATCATGTCTCCTACATATATGCATGTCCCCCTACATATATCATGTCCCCCCCTACATATATCATGTTCCCCCCTACATATATCATGTCCCCCTCTCATTATCATGTCCCCTCTACATATATCATGAGTCCCCTCTACATATTTCATGCCCGCCCTACTATATCATGTCCCCCCCTACAGTATTCATGATCCCCCCCCTTAACATATATCGATGTCCCCTCTACATTATATCATGTCCCCCTCTCATAATATCATAGTCCCCTCTACTTATCATGTCCCCCTCTACGATAATCATCATGTCCCCCTCTACATATATCATGTCGCCCCCTACAATATATCCATGTCCCCCCCTACATATTATATGTCCCCCCCTGCATATATCATGTCCTCCCCCATACATATAGTCAATGTCACCCGTCTACATTATCATGGTCCCCCCATAGCATATTATCATGATCCCACCCCTACATAGTTCATGTCCCCTCTACAATATAATTCATGTCCCCTCTCTTAACAGTGATATCATTTCCACCCTCCGTACCTATATCATTCCCCCTACAGTATTCATTGTCCCCCTGCATATATCATGTCACCGCTCGTACATATATCATGTCCCCCCCTACATATATTTCATGTCCCCCTACATATTCATGTCCCCACCTTACTATTCATGTCCCCTCCCTTACATTATATCAATTTCCACCCTCCTAATATATCACTAGTTGCCCCCCCTACATATATCATGTGCCCCGCTGCAGTATATCATGTCACCACTCTTACATATATCATGTCCCCCCTACACTATATTCATGTCCCCCCCCCTACATATATCAATGTCCACCTCTAACATATATCATGCTCCCCTCCCCCTTACCAACATATATCATTTCACCCCTCCTACAGTATGATCGATGTCCCCCCTACATATATCATGTCCCCGCATAACATATATCATGTCCCCCATACAATATATCATGTCTCCCTCATATACTCATGTCCGCAACCTCTACATATATCATGCTCCCCCTTATGTATATCACTGTCCCCCCCCCTGCGGTAGATCTCATGTCGTAACGCGTACTATCATGTCGTAACGACGTACATCATTGTCGTAATGCGGTATATCATGTTCGTATGCGGTATATCATGTCGTAACAGCGTTACATCGTCGTCGCTAGGAGCTGGACGCGGGCCGACGCGCGACCACCTCGGTCGACCAGCAGCATCGCATCGAGTTGCTGCATGAATTCTTCTCCTCGCCGATGGACCTTGCCGTCGATGATGCGTCAAACCGCAAAGGTCAAGCACACTTACCTGCGAGCGCTGGAGCGCGTTGCCACGCTGCAGGTGAGACTGCCGCTGACCTCTGACCGTGCTGACCTTGATCTGTGTGATCTAGAGAAATGATAGAGCATGAGGGGCGCAGATAGTGTGTGAGGAGAGCAGCAGAGAGCATGACGAGGAGCGTGATTGAGAGAGAGAGAGGAGAGAGGAGGTTCTCGATGAGAGAGATGAGAGATGAGAGATGAGAGACGGAGAGGAGAGAGCCTGAGAGAGAGGAGAGAGAGAGAGAGAGAGCGATGAGAGACGTGATGAGAGACATGGAGAGAGAGAGGAGAGAAGAGAGAGTAGACCCGTGATCTTGA